AAACTATTTTCAAGGATAAGAGTCATGCACAATTTCGCATGTTTTACTTGAAAACCTAAAAATGTGCACTTTCATTTTCTTTCGAAGAATGTTTACTTGAAAATTAGAAATTATTTGCGCAATTGACTAAGACAGTCCGTTCCTATTTGCAATACTGTGTATTTGTTTTACCAAAACAAGAGGTAGATTTTGCTTTTTTTTCAATTTGCCTGTAACAGCATGGAGAGTTAGATATGATATTTAAATTTTATATAATACAAACTAACCACCCCCCCCCCCACATTAAAAACCCCCAGGGGCTTCTAAACTTTCTACTATAAAAAATTTTCAAATGGGGCTTCTATTATGGGGGGGGGGGGGGGGTTCTAATATGACTTTTGTGTAACATTTTCTGAAAAACACATAAGAAAGTTGTTGTTTCAAATATCTTGACTCTTTATTTAGAATAAGTTCAATTAATCATACAAAATCTTATTGACATAAATATAGATACAAAAAAAAAGTGCTTGAATAAGTTATAAATTGCAAGGAAAAAAGAAGTTTTAATTTAATTTAATTCGATTACTTTTTCCAAAAATGAGTTAATTTTAATTGTTTATTTTTCTGTTGTGATAACTTTTTGTCCTGATCTTCAGCTAATTTTGCTTGAATTTCAATTTGTTGTTGTTCTTCATCATCATCTTCAGATTCATCAATATGTATTAATGGAGAATCAACTGTAACTGGATCGAATGTATAATTCGGAAGAGTTCTCGGTAATATTCGCATATTATTTGTCCATATATATCCGATGTTTTTAAATTCTTCCTTGAAGTTGATGCTTGCCTTTGTACGTTGCCATGCCGTCATTGTTAATCGAGTACAAAGAATTCTTGATTGTGAAGCTGTAAGTTTAATTCTATGTCTTGGGCCATATTGTTCGATATATTCTTCTGCTGCATCGGTATAATGGTTTTTGAACGTCGAGAAGATTGATATGTCAAGTGCTTGAAGATACATGGTACATCCGGTAAGAATAACAGCAACAACAACGCTCTTTTTTCGAAGATGCCGAACGGTTTCTGAATTAAGATAAGAACCTGCTGAATCGACAATCAGCATCTTAGGATGTCCATCTTGAACCTAAAAGTCATTCAAAGGACGTTTTTGATCTAGAGAAATGATTCAGGATTTTGACTCGCACCTCTTACTATATTTATTCATTGATGGATTCACAAGACAAAAATTTCTCTTTAAGAATGACTCTTTTCTCTAAAATTTTCACGAACTATTTCAAGCAACTGAGTATCTCAATTCTGTTGTTGAGAAATGACCACGAAATAACTGAACGATTTTTTATTCAGAAAACTTAGAGATGTCTTACGTTGGAAATGAACCATTCATTATATTTGTTCATCGTTGGAATATTGATAATGTCTTCCGGAGTGAAGAACACTTTGACATCATTAGCATATTGTTTTTGTTCATCAGGCGAAATGTGACCCTTCCATTTGAATAATAAAACAGGACCAGCAAGTTGATCTTCACCTGAGACTGTAAAAATAACCGTACAAAACCTCTGAATGAAGAAACAAAATAAATTAACAAATAGAATAATTCTTTGTATAGCTCCTCATAAAAGCAAAACAGATCTGTCTACCGATATCTTCTAAAATTCAACGAAGACTTGTGATTCTATTCAATCCTTCTTGTTAAGAAATATGTAGATTTGATAACGCAAACTTTAACTAGGTCTGAAGCCTGTCAGGTCAGCGTTTTATAGATCTACGAAAATTCATCTGCAAGTTGTATACGAAAACTCACAACGAATGAACAAGTTAAATTTGTTGTGTTGTAGAAAAAGAAAAGTACTCACTTTGTTACTCAAACATCCTTCTACTTCATTGCAAGTGTTGATATCATTGATTGATCGTTTTGCTTGATCACCGAATAATGCAAGTGGAGATTCATCCATATTAAAGACATCCCGCGGGGTAAATGCCCCCATTGGACCACGCTTTGGAGCCCATCGACTTGTTCGTCGAAGAAAAGTATAAAATGAAGTTGCTTTTTGATAAACTTCGTCGAGTGGAATCTTCTGTTGTCGTTTAGGACGTTGAAGAGAAAGTCGATGACGAACGAGAAAACGACCAAACCATTTCGATGATGGACATGAATGAATTAATTCTTCACTTAGTTGTCGTCCACGGCGTTGAAGTTGACGCAATGTTATTCTTTCCTTACGAATATCAGAAACAGGTGTGGTTGTCGATCCAGGAGCAGTACGCTTTTGACGATACCATGCAAATAACCGAGAGTCAAGGTCCACATAAGTAAATTTTTTACCACCTCCATCGAGACGCTTGCGTTTTTTATCTGAAGGAAACAAAATTAGAGCTTGAGTTACTTTTTATATTTAATAAAAATGAATTACTCACCTTTCTTTCGTGATGACAATTTTAATAATTCATCTTTATTCTTGATCCATGTGCGAAGTTGTTTTGTAGCACATCCGACGTCTCTAGCAGTTTGGTTTTTGCTGTTGTTTTTTTCAAAGCAGGCGATCGCATTTAATTTTTCGTTTACGGTCCACTGACGTCGCTTGCGCTTGTTGATGATAGTTGATGTTGATGAAGACGTAATATCGACAATGCTGTTGTTATTAGAAGATGGAGATGGATGAGATGATTGTAATAAGTTTTCATCATCACTGGATGATTCTGACGACGAATAATTAACGAGTGGTGCAGGTTGAGTCGAAGAATAATTTTCGTCGCTATCTTCGTCACTGTCCGAATTTAATTGTAAATAGCTAGTCCATTCGATTAATTCATTTTCATTTTCATCGACAACAGACGTAATTTCAACGCATGAATCATTATCGGAACTGGATTCGTCTAAAAACGAGTTTGTACTAACGCCTGGTAACGGCGCCAGATGTTCTTCGATTTGGTACATAATTAATGAAAAAACAATTCAAGAAAAAGATATTTTAATTGAATGACATATGGACGGTGCCGTCGAGATATATTTGTATACATATGCTTTTTCAGCCTATTCATTCAGCGCATTTCTCTCTTACAAAAGGTCACGTTATGAAACGTCCGAATACGTGTACGATTGATTGTTATGTATTAATTTTGTCGTTCTTAAATAAGAACAAAGAATTGTTCTGTCATGTATGTCAATGTTTATTTGATATGAAGTTACAATATTGAATTGTTTTTACTTTACTTTACAAACATATGATCGGATGTATGATAATGAAAAAGATAAAGGAAGAATATACAACAATTTTATAAAGCGTGATGCGCGATGAGCATTTACTCATGTACTGTGATTGTTCAGAAGAGAATTGATTGATATTGAAAAAAATTCTAAATCTTGGACTTAATACAAGCCCATGGGCTTCTAATACATCTCTCATATTGCTCCTTCCAGAGGGGGCTTCTAATATGGGGAGGCTTTTAATATGGGGGGGGGGGGGGTTACTCAAGTTTTTTGCTGTTGACATCAATCATTAAAGATATACAAGGGATTGAAACGGATCAGAAAGACATAAACTCAACTCTATTTAAGTAAACTCCGTTCGAATTATCGAGATATTGGCTCAGAAGCGAATTACTGTCTTTCATTTGTCATCAATTTGAAATAGAAAAATCATTACAATAGGCAACATTATAGTACGAAGAGATTCAAAAGCTTTTCTACTTCATTTCTAGTCCTGCTAAAGATTAGAATTGATTCTATACTACGCTTTGTAGCGAAACAAGCAGTCTTACCATAAAACAAATGGGCAACATTGTAGAAGATTATTCCTGCAAATTAAAAGTGGTTATTAGAATTACACTACTACATTTGCTTCATTCATTAAGTGCAGGAAGCAGGAACTATTGTACTTACCATCCGTTATTACATACTACTGTTTTCTCTTACATTAGCTGAAATTATTAAACTGAACACTTTAGAGCTTCAATATGTTATATAGTTTGCGTAATTTCGAGAGCTATGTGATCAAGCTAACTGATGATGTAATATTTTGGTTTCCAGAATTAGCGCTAAAATAAATGAATCTTAAGTATGTCGAGTAAAATTTGAAAGAATATCAAACACCAGTCAACTTATGAGAAAGAATTAAGTATCATTAGTGGATGGTAATACGAAAAAGTCAACAATTAATCTTAAAGGAATCAAAATGCGTCAGATTTAAATCAGTAGTGACTAAATGAAAGACAGTGTAATGAAAACAGATAGTATTGCACTTACACAAATCTGCCTCTTGAGTATGTAAAACTTTAAACGATTATAGAGAGAAAGAGACAACAGTACTGTATACTTTAGCGATATACAGAAATTAAAAGAATCCCACTCGCTTTTTCATATAAATATTTTCTTTAGGTACAGCATTACTTTAAAGCAAGAGTCCACTGATAAACTGCAATAGCATTGTCTCAAAAGTCGACTTCTTTGAGCCTGACTCAAATTGGTTCCGCTTCAATCTCTAAATTGTATAGTATAAAGTTTGCAGCACAACCTAGACATTCTTGGAATATAAGCTTGTTGAGATATCTTCGATTGAAATTACTAAATATAAATTTATTAGTTGTGTCATACTCTCCTAAAGCATACCCTTGTCCCTTAAGCAATTAGCATCCATTATTCAGCATCGTTTCACTACTCCTTGAGTGCTGGTTTTGTTTCCAAACACATTTCATCAGGCATTTCTTTTTAAAATATTTATTAGTTGTGAGATTTCCTTTCAACATTCACTGTCAGGCATGACTTTCAAATTATTCTAGAGTACTTGATGAGGGTCACAGATATCATGGTATCTCCTTTTGAAATTTAATTTTTTTATAGTGTCTCGACGAAAAATATCTCACTTTTGTTAGTATTGATACTAGACTTCACACTTTCTACGGTAACTATAACATAGTTAGCAGTGTAAAGAAAATTAGATTCAAGACCGAAGTTCATTATTTGTTTTTCGAATTGATTTCGAAAAATCATTGAAAAATATATTATAACAATACCTTTTAGTTCTAAAACCATGTCACCGATTAATATACATATATATTCGTCGTGCTTTGCATTGGATTCGCAATTTCAATTACTTCTTCTCCGCTCCACCTACGACCGATCAAAGCAAGCTTCAAACTCAAATGATTTCGACGTATATTTTCATTCTGTCTTTACTTTTTCCATCAACAATTCTTCTTCTCTACACATCAGCAGTCACAGTTACTAAAGCACTCACAGTCACAGAACCAAATTTAGAAAAATACGCAGAACTACGCGTAAAATATGCACAAAGCCTTACTTGTCCATGTACAACGATAACCACTGAATATCAGAATTTTCTACATGTCAACTATACTTTGCATCATGTTTGTTAGAGCAACTTCTTCATAGAAAATTGGATAAACTATCTTGGCAAAAGATCGTTTGATATACCTTTACATTCTCACGACTTTCGAGCAGCGGGCCAGTACACGTTTATAACTCTATATTCGTTATGCAATCAAGTTAATGATAGTATCATAAATAGCCTTGCTCGTTTATATGCTAGCTGATACGTGAGCATCGATTTGACGCCGTCTAAACTATTTCAATCACGTACTGAATCAATCTTCAATCAATTTCAATCTTTGACAATTAATGATTACTTGTCCTCGCTACTTACCGTGCGCGAAATCATTCAAAGCAATGCTTTATACACATTTCATTTAACCAGTGCTCAAATAGAACTTTTTCCCTGGGGATTCATTTATATCATTCGTAGAAGTACAATATCAAAACTGTTCATGTTTTGAGAGTTTATCATGTGTTTTTCCATTTCCTATCTTCAAAAGATACGACTTAGCAGCTACATATAGCGTTCCGGGCTTATATATATGATGCTATATGTTCGAGGCGCTGCTGCAATCGAATTTACAATGCTTCTATAATCCAATATGTTTTTCTGAGCTGATCTCAAATATTAACATTAGTTGACCGTTTAGAGACCCGGTGATGGATGCATCTTTACCCTCTCGATTCTCTACGACCAGTAACATCAATGAGATGCTAGAGAAATTGATGGTAGAAAATTGGGCCTGGTCAGCTGAATATGGGAAGTACTTCAACGAGTGTCGCCCTATCGAATGCATCTACGAGGATGAAACAAGAAATGGTGTCATATACATTTTGACAACAATAGTTAGTTTAATTGGAGGCCTCGTTCCTGTTATGGAATTTATTGTACCACGACTAGTTCATATAGCATGTTACGTAGCAAGCAAGAGAAGAGTACATGTTTCGAACACCGCTGATATCCAGCGTACAGTTGATGATCTTGCCAATGACGTTCCAGTAGAGTTATGAAAGAATCAATTGAAATTATTTTTTATGCAAATTACAGTACAGTTTTTATTGGTAATATTTGCTTATGATTGATGCTTAACATGATCAATCACTCGAACATCATGCAAGGTAACCGATATTGAGGGATTGAACTTGGAATATTGTCGACGCTTTGCTTTTGTAGAAAGTATTGTAGCTATTCTTCATCCAATGAGCAATGAAAATATTTGATTTTGTTCAGTTGCATTCGATTCTGCTGTTTCACATCTAATTGAGAATTTCTCATTTATGGAATGAAAAGATGTAAGACCACTTTTTGTCATCACAAAATTATATCGAAGAAAGGTTAGGGGGAGAGGCGGTTGTTACACTGATTGACCCTATTTGAAGATTGCTTGGGTGTGGGCGTGGGTACCGACGAAGAGAACACTCACATTCCAACACGGCCATTCATTAACACACCCGCACCCACAGCTTTCTTTGTTATTATAAAAGTGTTACTCTGACAGGTTAATGTTGTCACCGACCTGCTCGTTATTATCATTGCAACATGTATTTGATCAGAGTTGATTATTAGCCACTTGGTAAATTGTTATAAGCAATTATTCTAGTGAGTGTGTAGAGCATGACATCTGCCTTGTTTTTACATATAACGTTGAAATACAAACACGTTGATAATTCTTATGTGTTGAGACAGCACAGATGTTGTGTTCTACACACTGATGAGAGAAATTACTTATTGCAACCTACCAAGAATTCTGATCACATACATGTTGTGATGACAAAATCATGAGATTTGCTGGTAACATTGATCTGCCAGAGCAACATCCTCATTAGAAAAATGAAATATCATGAATATTACGTTTGGCATAAAATACTAATGATTTGGTTTTTAACTATTAGACCGACTACTTATGGCTCTTTATTGCATTTTTTTTTCATAACAGTCATTTTGTTTGCAAATAATGAAGAAAAAATTCTTTTCTTAATGATAAAATCGGTGATGAATATTTCAGCGAGTTTTCAACAACGGATGAATGTAAATGGGAATGCAGATTTGTTCGATAAATAGCTTTGTAAACTGATAAAGTATTAAGAGATATATGACATTGGCATAAATCCTGCAAATGTTTATGGAAAACTTCTTTTAAGTGCAGTGGTTGACTATTCTGTGTATTTTGTATAAAGTGTAGGACTACCGGGTGGATGTAGTTGTCGATGTGAATATTAACATCTATGCTCCATCCCATACCAATCGCCTAGAAAGCAAGCATTTATAGAGTGCATCGCGTCCAAGAGTTCATAGCTTCGTTCATGACGCAACCACATAAATGTGACATGATTGTCAGATGTCTGCTTATTAATTTTGAGATATTGTAGAAGAGTAAGAAATCTATGGGTAAGTACTCCGCGATGAAACAGAATTAAATAGGTCTGATGAACTTCATATAATGCCATTACGCATTTCTTCATAGAATTGTTCTGCGAACTTTGTCCTTGATATTATGTTTTCTTTAACTAAGTGCTGTTTATAATTCTTTTTGTCTATTAACGTTGGTATCAATGTAAAATTTGGTTTTTCTCTGAACCAATTGACCATCCACACCCTACACCCA